TTTCTTTTGAAATTCCTAGAGGGGTTTCTGTTCATTGACTGGACTCTTAACTGATACATCTGAATTCCCGTCTGGTCTTTGATTAGCCTACATCTCAGGTTTCTCCTGTGTGCATCTTGTGTCCAACCTGTGATGATTCCGCAAACTTGCCAGCTATTTGGGTTGCTTTTGTGTGCAACTGAGATATCCTTTTGCCACTACATCCCTCTGGGATTCAGGAATTGCTGCTGCTTCTTTGTTTCTGCTTCTCCTCAGACCATCCTGTTCTGTCTGTGCCATGTTGAGGAAAATTCCGTGGGAGACACTCTGTGAGGTTGTCTGAGAACCACCTGCCTAGACACACCACGTAGACGGTGCTTCTGAACCATGTTGGTTTTTTTCCTTCCTCCCTGGACTTTTCTCTGGAATTGGAACATAGTTCCCCTGTCATGAGATTCCTACCCAAACTTCACACCCAGGTTGTAGCTCCTTCTCAGCTATGTGACAGTAGCTAAGCTTTCCTTAATTCTGCTTTTATCCTCTCCTTTCTCCAAGGAGCTGTTTTCTAGTATTTGAGTGTGTGTGTGTATTTGTGTGTGTGAGTAGGAGGGGAACAGATCCTGACCAATATGCTATTAAACCTCAAGTCTCCTTTGTTGTTGTGTGCCGTCCAGTCCGTTCTGACTCATAGTGACCACATATGACAGAGTAGAACTGCCCCCATAGGGTTTTCTTGGCTGTAATTTTTACGGGAGCAGGTTGCCAGGTCTTTCTCCTGCTGTGCTGCTGGATGGGTTTGAACCACCAACTTCTTGGTTAGAAGTTGAGCTTTTAACCATTGGACAACCAGGGCTCCTTTCAAGTCCCCTTTAGGGCCTAGGCTTTTGAAACTCAAAACACGAAAGATTGACTTCTTCATTGCTTCCATTCTGTTGGGTCACATCCCTTCCCTGAAACAATACAGGTAAAATGTTAGCTGCCCATAAATGTGGGAGGAAAGTAAGAATAACCAGAAACATAGGTTGTATCTGTTAGTATTCAAAATTGGATGCTGCTCCAAATGTTTTTAATTCAGCCCAAACCATAAAGTCCTCCTTCTCTTGATCTCTCTCTTTCGCTTTCCCTGATCATGCCCCCTTCCTTGACTTTCCACCCCACTTTCCCTAGACCTTGGTCTGGTTTGTGCTGTGGCATCCTAGGTGCACTCTCTTCATGACACTTACCATATCCTAATGGTTATGACTGTTTAGTTGTCTTCAAGGGTGACTCTGAGAAACTTGACAGCAAGGAAAATTCTCTATTACACTGTGTATCTTCAGTTCCTAGGAAAGAGCCTGGCAGATAGAAGGGATTCAATAAACCGAGGGGAAACTAATCTCTAGATTAAAAATAGTTTGTTCAAATACTAAGTATAAGTGCTGTTGTTCACGTAGTACCGACTTTGCTCCTGTTCTCTAAGCCATTTAGAAGTATTTACTCTGATTCTGACAATAATTCTGTGAGTATGTATCTATTATTATCCTTATTTTATAGATGGGTAAACGAAGGCACAGAGAGGTTAAACAACTTACCTAGCATCACACAGTAGTAAGTAAAAGAGCCAAGATTTAAACCCAGGCAGTTTGACTTTAGTGTCCATGCTCTTAAAAACTAGGCTATGCCACCCCTCACATGTTAACTTGGGGCTTTGAAAAGGAGATGGTGCATTCATGGTATAAAGGATTCTGAGAAAACTTATAAATTGTACTGATCTAAATTGCTTCCAAGGAGGCAGAAAAGGAAAAAAAAAAAAAAAAAGTAGAGAAATGGGATTCTATTGTTTTATTCATTATTAATAATTTTTTGATACCTTTACCTTGAAAAGGCCAGGCGATAGAAGGTCAGATTCTTACCACTGTCATACTCTTTGGTCAGGATGCTCACAGTGGCTAAAGACTTAAGAATTCTGTCTTGGACATTGAAGAAGATGGCCCGCCCATCCTCCCAAAGCAGCAAAGCGAAATAGGAGCTGCAATGCCAGGAAGAACTATCCCTATTTTTAAGGCATCTGAAGAGAGAAGGAGAATAGACTAGAAATCTTTCCAGTGCTCTTATCTGTCCAGAGAAGAAAAGTATAGAGTAATCCAGAATTTTCATTTATTTGTCTAGAGTCAGCGAACAAGTCAAATGGTACCTCTAATGAAATAGCCATCTTAGTGGCATTTGAATTAATTACTGAAGCAATCTCAAAACAAACATTTCTTTATACTGAAATTTGACTGAAACTTTCATAAGTATAAAAAATGAATTGTCATTATTAATTTTGGATAAGTATGAGACATTTGGGCAATTTTTCTGAACAAATAGTAGTTAATCTGGAAACTTTTTTCTTTGCTTTTATATTACTTATTACAACATAAAAAAGAGATATTTGTGAGCTATCTTCCTTTACTCTGAAATATGATATTGATAATAATTGTAACTTAAATTTTGTTGAAATTTTGACACATAACTTGTTTTCTTTAGTGTTCTATATTGAAATATATCTACTTGCAATTACTGTGCTATAGTGGAAATATTTCCTTATTCAAATACAAGTAATTATCCATAAATTATCCTGGAATAAGCAAGCCAGATTGAAGTACTGAGTATTAAAAAAAAAAAAATCAAAAACAAAAGGTCCTTTGGCCCATTTTGGACAAAGAACACACACAAATTCATTTATTCATTTATTTAAAAATGTTGAGTACGTCCTATATACAAGGCAAAAGATGGTATGTTAACAATGTCTATTAGAATAAGATAATAAATAATGACTATAAACATGACCAGTCTATCAATTCATTTATGTCCTAATGGCTGGTTTAGTTAAATTATGGGTGCAGTCCTTTTAAGGCTCTTAAGACACCCCAAATCCTGGTAAATAATATGCACTGTAGTTATACTTTTTTTCCAAAGCTAATAAATAACAATACCCTAGTGAGGTGTTAAGAACCCCAACTAGTCACAATTATGGGTAGAAAAGTGAGCTGCTAATATAAGCCAGATCTAATTTTTTGTCTGATTATTGATGAACATTTTTGACATGGCATATTACTATATTAAGTACCTAGCATATATGCATATCAAAATGCCATATTAAATACATATGTATTGTTAATAATAAAAGGAATAAAATAAATGTGGCAATTTCATTATAGAAATATTAGTAGCCCATATAATCTGTATATAACTTTCCTACTACTTATTAAACTGAAATATTTATCATTTTTGTTTCATGTCTATCTTTTACAACATAGAACATTTCATGTAAAATGGAATTATTTATTTTGTGATGAATTTTGGAATTGCAGCAAAATCTTGGCTTTACTCTATTTCAAAAATTTAAAAGCCATGAATAATGGTAATTTTTTAAAAAATGGAACAAGATGAACACATGAAATCATAATTCATTAGTTTCACATTTCCTTATTTTAAGCTCTTCTGTTATATAATTATAAAACCCCTTTATTATGCAATTCCTTAGTGGTGTCTTCTGTTACTTGAATTCCGACTAGAAAATTTAGATTTTTATTGGTTATGATTCCTCTTTTCTGTACAAGATTCAAGGTGAAGGTCAGTATGATTTTAAGAATTATTATTAGGTAAAAATAGTTGTTGTGATCTCTACATGAAAACTCTTGAGCTATTTATCCCAATTAAAAATAATACTAACATTCCCCCATAGGGTAATAATATAGCAGAGACTTTTTGAAAGTAATTAAATCTGTTGAGAGAAGAATATTCTCATGCTAAACTAAGTGTTGGGAGTCCACACATTATTAAAATAATTTTTAGAAACATAGACAATGACCTACATCTTTATTTGCCTAGAAGTCTGAAAATTGTTAGCAGTGGAAAAGTTAGCACAATGTGCTACCAACCAAATTTCTTGACACATTCATTCAATTAGCCCCTGGACATTGTAGCCAGGAACCTCTTGTTTTCTATCTTTACTAAAGGACAATGAAGCTGTGAGAACAAGCTATGAAAAAAGGAAGCATCTTAAAAGCAAAAGGCTTCTCTGATCATTCTGGTTTTGTTTTCTTCATTGGACACAGACCTGAATACTTTTGTGCCTCTATAGGTTTGGAACACAGCTATCAGGCAGGTAGAGGAAGCACAAAGGTAGAAGAAGACGGGTTTTCACTTTATCCATACAACTATTGGCCACCGGGGATTCCAGGGGCCTACGTTAGTTCCCTGGTCTCCTCTCGTCTCTGAGGGGCAAGACTTTCTGGACACATGGCTGTTCTACTGTCAAGTTTTTCCAGGCAAGACAGTGTCACTGCTTTCCAATAGGAGCCCAATAGTGGCAAAGCTACCCTTTCCTGTACCTATCCTGCCCCTTCCCACTAAATGCAGTCTGTATTCTTGGTGGTGTGAGGAGTGTGAATAATAGAAGAGTTCGTCTCTCATCCCTTCGGTATTGTGCTTTCTGAGTCTCTTCTTAGCTATTGAAAATCAAACAAACAAACAAACAAAAAAGGACCCTGGGTAGGGTGAGAAAAGTCTGGTAGAAGAGAGAGAATTTTCTGGAATTCTGAAATACCACCAAGGCACTGGCAGTGCAGTGGGCTAGCGGGGACCACAGTTTTAGAAGACATCTTGTCCATTCCCAGGACAAAGATTCATGACCGCCCTTTTCGGTTCCCAGGACATTTATTGATGGATTGATTGTTGAATTGTTCTATTTAGTGGAAAGAGGCACTCTTTTGTTACAGGGAGTTACGTCCAGAAAGACTGGAGCTGTAAGCACTGGTGGTCGATTCCAGTTTGGTCATGCTTTCTGAACCCTAACTACATAGTTGGATAAGAAAGTGCATCAGTTAGCTGTGAAAAAGCATGTGCTGCCTCTCCAAAGTCCAGAAGTGCTTAAAAACTGTGATGTATATAATTTGGAACAATAAATTACGTGCACAAAAAGAGTTTATCATAACATAAAATTAAAAAGTGACAATTTCATCACACAGTTACACTGCTGTTTTCCTTTTTGGGGGGTGTGGGTTTGTCCTTTTTTGTTTCATTTTTCATTTCCATTTTTTTTTTTTTAATGGAGGGTTGAGAAGGGAAGAGATTTGGTCCACTGAAGATTAATCACCCTCAACGATATATATATTAGAAAAAATATCAGCAGCAAGACTCTCTGGAAATAGATTCTGTTTGATGTAGCTAGTCTGTCTTTTCTGTTTTGCCTTCTTTCACGGCAGCCTCTGAAGTTTTCCGCAGCGGGGCTTTCTCCAAGTTGGCATGTCCTTGGCCGGAATCCGCAGCTCCACCGTTTTTGTGAGTAGTGTGTTTTTCCAAGTAGTTCAGCATTTCACTGAGGACTGTTTGGAAAGTGCTTAGGGCTGCACATATTGCTGGCGTCCCAAAGCCATGAGTGATCAAACTGGAAATGAGAAGTGGTAAGGAAAACGAGATGAATAATTTTCAGTATGATGTAGGATAGCAAATCCCCCCATTTAATCCAGAACGTTCAATTAAACAGGCGTTCATTGCGTTCCTAAATGGTGCCAAGCATTGTGGAAGACACAATTCAGTAAGTGCTCAATGTGCTGCCCTTGACCGTAAGAAATTGATGATCAATTTGGAAGAAACTTGCTAGTGACATACTCGGTATGCACTAAACATCAGCAAAGCTGAGTGTTTAACACATGACTTGATTCTCCGTCTATTAGGAAGTAGCTAGAAAACTCAAATTTCCATGCATGGAATCATCTGGCTTTCAAGAATAGTGTGGATATTTGTATGCGTATAGAATCACACAAGAAGAAACCATACTTGAGTGTGCCAGATAGCTAGCTGTTCCTCTAACTTCATTCCCTTTCTTCTTCCATAGTAATGGAGTTTTGTCTGGGCACATGCCATCCAGCTTGGGGCTACTTTCCCAGCCTCCGTGGCAGCTAGCTTTGAACATGGGACTAGCCTTCCAACAATACCACATGAGGGGAAGCAATGCATGCAATTCCCACATCATTTGCTTAAAAGGAAATTGATTGCCCTCTATTTCCTCTACACATAGTAATCTACAAGTTTTTGCTATGTAGATTAGAATAATCATACTGGTATTGGGCTCACAACAAGACATAAGAAACCTCCCCTTCAGCCTCTTAAATGAGACAGAAATAAAATTCTACCTTATGTAAGCCACTCAACCTGTGGGTCTCAGCAGGTAACTAATAAACAAACTAATAATTGCAAATTTAAGCAAATGTAGGAAGTACTGCGGCAACCTCAGCATAGATAGCCCTTCCAGCTCTGACAAATATCATCTCTAGTTGAATAAATATGTAAGTGCAGATTCACTATAATTGTGAGTAGACCCAACCAAAAATGGTCATTTTTGTCAACTGTTCTAATGTTTTCTCCCCATAACACACGTGTTGTAATAAAATGCTTGATACATGTTATATATTCAATAAATGACAGCCATTAACTGCTTACAAGTCCTAGGTTGTTATGCTTGCTATTACATTAATAGTTTTTAAATCAGCACCATCCTCCATAATATGTTAACTAGCTAGTTACTCCTTTTAGGTTATGTAATCTTTAGGAGCAAAAAGAATGAGATTTTAAAACAATGTAAAAGAAGGATTTAGGATCAAAGGTAGCCTACTGATATGCTCCAAACCAAAATCCAAACCCCTTGCCCTCGAGTTGATTCCAACTCATAGCAACCCTACGGGACAGAGTAGAACTGCCCCCTGGGTTTTCCAAGGCTGTAATCTTTATGGAAGCAGACTGCCACATCTTTATCCTGCAGAATGGCTGGTGGGTTCGAACTGCCAGCCTTTTGGTTGGCAGTGGAGCGCTTAACCACGAGCAAGCAGGCCTCCTTGATATGCCTTAGCGGAGATAATAGGATTTACCAATAGGATGGCTGTTTATGTTCAATGAGCTTCAATGCAAAGGGCTCAGGGTGATACTAGTGCTTAATAAATGGGAGATATTGTTAGCTGTGGGATATTAACGGTTAGGGTAAAATTTTCTGCATATCCCTCATTATACTCCACAGGTTGCTACCATCTTTCCTCTGGATATTTTATAAAGCTTGCTCTATGACTAGTAAGCAAGGAGCCCTGGTGGCGCAACGGTTAAGCGCTTGGTTGCTAACCAAGAAAGGTCGGTGGTTCAAATCCACTGGTTGCTCTCCGGGAGAAAAGACCTGTCCATCTGCTCCGGTAAGAATTTGTCCTGGGAAACCTTATGGGGCAGTTCTACCCTGTCCTATAGGGTCGCTATGAGTCAGAACTGACTCGAGGGCACACAACAACATGACTAGTAATAATTAATTTCACTTAAAAAGAAAAAGAACACTCCATTCTCAGATTATTTAGAAAGCAAGAATGGTCAATGCACGGGCAACTAGGTGCACCAAAATGTGTAATATAAGACATCATCACAGCTCAAGCATATTCATATCTGTGTTGAAGTGTCTGACATTTCTGAGCAGGAGAACTGATTTCAGCTCCATTCTACAAGGAAATGACTAGAGGGGAAGCCATGTGATTTGGGATCTAACAAAGAGTCTGGACAACAAATGGAATTCTTTGGAACTGGGGAAGAATTCATCATGGTGGCACCCACAGAAAGAACTGAGTGGGGCCATCCATTAATATCTAGAGGCTTGGTCATGAGCACCAACTGCCTTTTTCTCATAGTTTATTCCTGTTTAGAGCTTCTTGTACCATTAGATGAATTTTATTCTCCTGTATTGTCATTTCTTCTTGGTTGTGATTCTTCTTTTCATCTATAGCCGAGTATATATTAGTCCCATTGGGTTAAAATTAATATTAATAACCCATATTTACTGAGCTCTGACCATACACCAGGCCCTGCTTTAGGTGCTTAATCTGTATTATCGAATATAATCCTTGTAACAACTTAAGAAGTACATATGATTATTGTCTCCATTTTACAGATGAAGAAATTGAGGCCCAGAGACGTTAAATAACATGCCCAAGGAACCTAATGTTCTGTATTGCCTTTGTGTTTTCGTTCCTCTCAGAGAATGTGTTTTACTCTTTTTCTCTGAGAAATCACATTTCTGTTGACAGTTTTTGCTCAGTTTCTCTGACTTATCTTAGTTCTGTGCAAAGCCTATAGGCCTGGAAGATGATGGCTTTTTTTACTTTTTCATTTAACATAAAGGCTTTTAAGAATCAAGCACAAAGTGAATTGGTCACTTAAATTCTCCACACTGAGAAGAGAGTTGTCACCATAATGAAAGATTCTTTTAAAGCTGGTATCCCTCTTGACTGATGAGTTTTCTTACTTCTAAACTATGTACCTGATCATTGGCTGGTTGGATTATCAACCTTGGCCTGGATGGAGAACCAGGAGTGCCCAGTCCTTGCATTGGCTCTGACCTTAAGAAACTTTGTGATTTGGGGGAAGCTAGCTACAGGGTAATTATGAGTCGGAATCGACTTGACGGCAATGAGTTTGGGGTTTTTTTCTTTGTTTTTTTCGTATTTAGCCTTGTTGTAAAATGATGATCGATGGTTTGACTAGGCAATCTGAAAGGTTCTATCCAACTTAAGCTTCAGTTCACTGGTATGGCTTATGGTGCTTTTCTTAAAACCAAGGGCACAGACAGGAAGGTATGAAAGTTGAAAAACCAATTAGCTCCACAGAGAAGACTAAAATTGGTTGTGGAATAATCAACAGAAGGAAAATTACCTGAAGTGTCATCTTTCAACATGAAAGACATTATTAACGTAAATTAATTTTAGCTTTCTTAATTCATCATTACCTGCACATCAGAAATCACGCATGACACACTGCATAGAGTGATACTAAATGTAAGACATAGCATCTGTTCTAGCAGTTTTCAGTGAAATTTATAAATCCAAATAATTAAAGCAAATCTAATATTGCACTGCAGGAACAATAACACAGAATAAAGTGTGAAATCACAGAATGCTTAAAAGGAATTTCTAGGAAGATCATACTATACAGTTAGCTCCAAGAAAAATAGAAAAGTAGGCGTATATCTCATTCACAGTGCCATACCAAAATATAAACAAACAAATAAGGAGAACTAATGAGAGTTTACAAAAAAATAAAAACCAGAAATGGTAGGGTTGAATTTCAATCCTAGACAGAAAATAAACGAAAGTCATCTGAAAGGTAACAAACTATAGTCAAATCTTCAAAATCTTTGACAATGGAGAAGATTATTTATGTCTGCCTTTAGAAAATATTATTTTTCAGTCATAGTTTTAATATTTAAGTTGTACTTGGTATTTGCATATACAGTAAAACTCGTGAAAGCTGGGGTGCTGTGTAAGGCGGAAGCCTGTTAGAGAAGGAAAATTCAAATGTTTTCCATTAATAGTGACAGAAAAGTGGTAAGACTGCTGCACGCTGTCAAAGGTGGAAAACTTTTCGAGACCTGGAAAAGCACAGCAGTCCCACCGAGTTCCTGCTCTCACAGGTTTCACTGTACTTTCATCAGATTAACATCAGAGAGTATTTCATCAGCAGATATCATCTGGGTTAAATAGTAGCCACAGTAGTTTGAAGTAGGTCGTCAAAATAGAGAAGTTCTTCTAACTTCAAATTTACCTAATACTTTATCCTCGGTGAGACAAGTGCAAGAGACAACTAGCATCGTGCTGGATGTGTCATCTTCAGGACTCCTTTTTGAAAGGCTTTCAACAATGGAAGAGGATACAACCGTATCAAATATGTTAACAAATCTGAATTCCCTGTCTCCTTCCTTCACTCTGTACAATCATGTTTTCCATTTATTTTTGTAAAGCTTATCTTCTCCCTATCCCCAAACCTATGATAGTTGTTCCTATTTTGTGCACCTTTATTTGTCCTTCTTCTTTCCATCCAATCTAAATTCTACTCACCCTTCAAAGATCCTTTGATAATGTTAAAGAAAATGAAGTTAGTTTCCTGGTCCCTTGATTAATATATTGAAAAAGTAGTCCTGCCAAAGGATTAAAAACTTCCCAAATTTGTGAGAGGACTTAAACAGAATTCTGGAGAGAAAAGAGTAACATTCCCCAAAAGAATGTAAGAGGAGAGCCCACAGTGGACAGCGGGAAGAAAACAGACAGGTGAGGCAAGATCCCAGCCAATAAAGCGAGGAAAGGGAGTGGGCGCAACATGGTGGCCTTAAAGAATAATTGATAATCAAAGTATACCAGATATTTAATACAAGCGGCAAATAAGATTTTATATGTATCTCTGAAAATGTGTGGTTTGGGGGTTCTCCTGTAAATTGCAATAGAAAATTACAGTCCAATCTTAAAAAAAAAAAAAAAGTGTTAAAAACAAACCACACACACGCACAAAGAAACAAACAAAAAAAAACCCAGCAACAACAACAAAAATAAGCAGGACTGCGATAAAAACAAAAAACCCCGTTGCCGT